CTCTCAGTCACAGAAATTCTCTCTCCAGCCACATGTAACAGAAGAGATACAAAGTTCAAAAGAAGTTTGCTTTTCTTACGAAGCTCCAGTGAGTTAGTTCCAATTCCAGCCTAATTTTACGTGGTTGTGCTTGACACTGGAGTATTATAAACATATCCAATTATTATATGGTTTTACAGATCACTTTTAGAGAAGTGCTTGCCTGAGTGCATTCTGTATAGGGTACATTCGTTTTCCTTCTGAGTGCAGGTGTTGCATCATCTTCAAGAAACTGATGTTCTCTACAGAGAAATTTTCAAATATTGTCTCTGAAATTCTGCATGTTGGACATGTGAAAACCAGGTAGGCAATTAGATGATTAAAATAGTACTATGTGATTTTTATGGTTGAATGTAGACTACACCTGAGTAAAAGCAACTAGTTAGAAAATTGAAGACAGAGATAGCTGTAGGTTGTGTAGTTACAGCAGACTGGTCTTTCATTTGTCATATGTTCAGACAGAAGTGTTTGACTGTGATTGAGTTTGGATTTGCTGTACTTTCCTATAAAGTAAGAAATAAATGGGCACAAGGAATTATTAGTAACAGTTCAGGATAACTCTCTAATGCTAAAATCTGAACTTTTTAATAAAAGGCCACTGTTGAGACTACAAGAGACAAAGTACATTATTTTAACAGACAAAAGCATTTATAGAATCCTTTATTTTTATTAAATTCTCTGAATTTTACAATTTTACAGCTCCTTGGGTGCTGAAGAAAATAAAGAATTAACTGTTCTAAATTATGAGAAGTGGAAAGAAATTTATTACTGTTTCTATGAATATTTCTGTTTGAGCTGTCATTGAACGAAGCTCAATTTTTCTTTTATGTTGCATGGATTTGTGATCTACTAAATGGAGGAGAAAAAAATGAGGGCATCAAGCTCACTTTCATATGTGATATGTAAAATAAAATAAAACCAAGCCTAATTTATTACGATTTATAAACAAATGCTCTTGCATATGGCATATGTTTGTGCATTTATGTACTGATATATTTTAAGAAATTATTATCCTGTTAGTAATGGCTGCAAATAATTATTTGTGAAAAAATTCCATTCGATAGGCACCTAAAATAGTCACTTCTGGAAACACTTCTCTTCAGTTCCTGCTTCCTCCTCTGAATTCCCACCAAGCCTTCTCCTCCTCCCCAGTGTCATGTAAGAACAAGCATGTCAGCATTCAGGAAGATACAGCCATGCAGTTAATTCTAATTGCCAACACTGAATAAATTCACATTCTCTTCTATTTGTGAAAAACTGACAGATTGTGCTTGTACACTTGAGCTTGGACAGTCTCTTCCATCTCAGTTTGTTTTATTCTCAACCTGGGAAAAGTCTGAATTCTTTCACTTTTTCAAACTGGGAAATAGTCTGTTTTCCTTGGGGGTAAAAATTTATAAGGGAATACAAGATATCCTTCCAAGACCAAATATTCTTACCATATGCATTGAGTATTTTGCACTGGTCTGCAACAATTATTTCTAACCAGTAGTTCAGCAGGGGAGCTGAGACATAATGCAAAAGAAACGTAGTAACATCAGCACAGTTACTCTTTTGTAAACAGATTTTCTTTGTGCAGTGATAACTTCAGGTGCTTGCACAAAAAGACAAGTCATTACTAAACTATAAAAAGGGAATTTTCTTACTGCTTGTCAGGCACTGCAGTAATTTTGAAGGACTGAACATAATTACTACACAGCTACACAGGATTTGGAGAAGGCTGAGGTTCTGAATGACTTCTTTCCCTCTGTCTTCACTGGCAAAGGCTCTGACCACACCAGCCAAGTCTTGGAAGGCAGACGCAGGGACTGTGAGAATGAAGACCTTGCGCCCACTGTAGGAGAGGATCTGGTTCGAGACCATCTTAAAAATCTGAATGTGCACAAGTCCATGGGACCTGATGAAATCCATCCACGGGTCCTGAAGGAGCCGGCGAATGAAGTTGTGAAGCCGCTGGCCATCATATTTGAGAAATCATGGCAGTCAGGTGAAGTCCCCGATGACTGGAAAAAGGGAAATATAACCCCCATTTTCAAGAAGGGGAAAATGGATGACCCAGGGAATTACAGACCAGTCAGTCTCACCTCTGTGCCTGGCAAGATTCTCCTGGAAGGCATGCTAAGGCACATGAAAATCAGCAAGGTGCTTGGTGACAGCCAGCATGGCTTCACTAAAGGGAAATTCTGCCTGACCAATTTGGTGGCCTTCTATGATGGGGCTACAGAAGTGATGGACAGGGGTAGAGCAGTTGATGTCATCTACCTGGACTTGTGTAAAGCGTTCGACACTGTCCCAGACAGCATCCTTGTGTGTCTCTATGTTGGAGAGACATCAATTTGATGGATGGACCACTTGGTGGATAACGAACTGGCTGGATGGCCGCACAAAAAGAGTTGTGGTCAATGGTTCAATGTCCAGCTGGAGACCAGTAACGGGTGGTGTCCCTCAGGGATCGGTGTTGGGACCGGTCTTGTTCAACATCTTCGTCGCTGACATGGACAGTGGGATTGAGTGCGCCCTCAGCAAGTTTGCCGATGACACCAAGCTGTGTGGTTCGGTTGATACGCTGGAGGGAAGGAATGCCATCCAGAGGGACCTTGACATGCTTGTGAGGTGGGCTGATGCCAACAGGGACTGTAGGGATAGGACAAAGGGTAATGGGTTTAAACTTAAACAGGGGAAGTTTAGCTTAAATATAACAAAGAAGTTCTTTAATGTGAAGGTAGTGAGGCACTGGAATAGGTTGCCCAGGGAGGTTTTGAATGCTCCATCCCTGGCAGTGTTCAAGACCAGGTTGGACGAGGCCTTGGGCAACTTGGTTTAGTGTGAAGTGTCCCTGCCCATGGCAGGGGAGGTGGAACTTGATGATCTTAAGGTCCTTTCCAACCCTAACTATTCTATGATTCTAAGATAATTGAAAAATCTCAGTGTTTCATGTATCATCAATCCATATAGTAAGCAAAGGTATAGTAATGAACGCTAGTTTACTGAATTTAAATTAACAAAATCCAAACTAAGCTTGACAACTTCTGTCAAATACTTTGTCCTATAAACAATAGTTGTTTGTCGCTGTCATTATTTCAGCACATCTGCAACATTTAGCAGTTCTAGAAGTCTGAAGTCTTCTGGCATTTTCCAGAAATGCCTGCATAACAATAAACCTCTTGCTTTCCTCAGTGACTCAGGATTTTATACAGTAAGCAAATCTAGTAGGTATTTGTCAGTGTGATAAAATTGCTATAGACTTGCCTAAGTCACCAGCAAGACCTTCTTGAGTACACCCTTCCTGATGGTGGGGCTGGCTGGAATGATAATCTTATCAACTAAGCTTGAGTTAAAAAGGCAGTAAAGATTCTGCTGCAGTTGGCTCATCCCTAGCTTAATTTCTATTCCTTTCTGATGTTTCTCTGTAAATGGGCTATTTTCTGAAGCTGAAGTTATCATATTAACGGGCATTCCCATGTTTGCATAGAAGTACAAAGCTACTCAGGCTAAATTTCAGTGTTTTCCTTTTGGATCTATTGTTCGATCATTACATTGTTGGCTCCAATATATTGTGCTTTTACATGAGCTAAATTCTTTAACTGGTGTGTTCTTGCAAGGTGTTACTTGTATCATGTCTCATATGGTGTTTTTTAGGGAGAGAAAAGAGAACTTCAAATCTATATTCTATGGCCATGCAACACCAAGGTTGGTGATGGTCTAACAGCCCTCTCAGTTGGGGCATCAAGGAATGCTACTGACTTGAATCAAACTGTTTTTCAGTCTCCTGACTTTGACGGTGTCTGTGGTATTGAGATGTAGAATTTAATCAGATGCTTACTTCCAGAATTTAAAACAAAACCCCAACCCACCAGTCGTTATAATGTAATTTGTAACAGAGATCGTTAGAGTTACAGTCAAGTTTTCTGAAGTGTGGGGTTTATTGTGAGATTTATGAATGTAATGTAACTTACACCATTGAGCTTCACCCATGAGCTGATATTTGATGATAAAAGTGTGAGAAAGGAATGTGAGAAAAGGGGAATAAAAATTTTCTTATTCAAGGCAAATTATATATGCTTCACATAAAATTAAGGGCTGCTAATGACATGGTACAGCTGTGATTGGGTCACTGTCAATTTTGAAAGCAACCTGGCTCACTATAAGCTTTGACCTTTCTCTTGCTCTAAATTTCACTACAAAATAAAACCTCAGACATTTATTACAGAAAAAAGCTGAAATTCATTAAGATAGAGCACAGTTTGAACAGATTCCATCATGAACATAATATGAAATGTGTGTTCTTCCATACTAGTGTTCTAACAAATGGGATTAGGGAAATACCTTTCTGGTTTTGTTTTTGTGTTTTTTTTTCCATTCAGATTGAAGTTGAGGGACAGAGCTCAATGGAATGGGCTTTGAAAGTGCTCATTTGCAGCATTTCCCCTACTGAAAGCTTTGGTTTTTTTTTTTGGTTTTTTTGGTGTTTTTTTTTGTTTTTTTTTTGGGGGGGGGAGGGGCTGGTGTTGGTATTTTTTGTTTGTTTGTTTTGTTTTTTAACCTTCAATATATGGTGGAAGGAGAGAAGCTTAGGAGTGAGTGATTTGTCTCCCTGCTGTTCCTGGATTTCTGCATTTGAACTGTGATATTGTTGGGGTTGGACATTTTGTTTGTGCAGTGTTAGGCCCTGTGGCCTTGAGCTTCTGGGGGGTTACATACAGCCACCCAAATACATGAACTGGCTCTTCCAAAGAGACATTCAGAGTTTTCCAGGGAAAGGTAATTGATAGAATTTCCCTGTTAAGCGCTCTCTGTGAAAGGGAGCTGTGGAAGATGGAATACTCCTGACAGCAGTACAGGAATAAAAAGTCTTTTTCCAGCTAATTAGAGATATTTGCCTAATTGGTGAAGGTTGATGCAGTGGTTCTTTTTTTTTTCCTCTCCTACCCCCTCTCCCCGCCCCCTCTCCTGTGTTACAGATATACGTGGACTGCAGGGATTTCTTGATCAGGCCTCAAGACTGGGACTTGATGTGTCATTACAAAAAGTGGACAGGAACATCAGCAGAGTCTTTGCCAACCTTTTCACTACCATGAAAACAGAAGAGCTGAACCGCTATCGGGACACATTGCGAAGGGCTATCTTACTCCTAAGCCCACGGGGAGCCCAGACTTTTATTAATGAGGTCAGTGCACAGTTTTTATCATTAACATTTCAGGAACATATATGATGGCTTATGTGACACCTTGCCATGTTTTCTGAAGTGGTAGATTTTGACAGTGCTGTTTGGTAAATGTCGAATAAGACTGCCAGACTTTAGTGCCAGGGAACGGAAGTAACAGGTACTCCATGTAATGCATACTTTGTGGTTAAGGCAAACTGGGATAGCAAGGGCCAGGTGGGCCCTCTTAGTATATTATGCAGATTTATGGGACAATTCTATTTTTCCAGTCATCTTCCATACCTGGATTTCAATCACAGTTGATAAGTGACAAGAACATCTACTATAGTCTATTAGAAAAGAAATATAATGTGCCTGAGTCATCTTTACTGCGGAAATCTTCAAATTCATATTAAAAAGGCATGTTATTGATATTTGCAAGCTGAGTCACAGAGTTGTTTATAAAGTATGAAGTAGGAATTATGTGTTTGTCTTTTTTTTGTTTCCTTAATGGTTCCTTGAAATCAAGTATGCTAAATAAGGCAGGGAGCTAGCTGTTGGGCAAACTTGTAATTAATATTGTGCTGTGGGCTAATTTTTGGCATGAGCTAGTTTTATCTAGTTTTTTAAACATTAAATGATTAACTCTTCTGCAATGTTTTATAGATCAGCATTGTGCATGAGAGTTGGATCCTCAGTATAAGTTTATGTGTATTCATTAGCTAGGAATTTGGCAATGAAGTAGGTTGGTTTAATTCTTTTTATTTTAACTAACCAGGGATAATACTGACCCAATAAATTAAACTTTGGATGAAGTCTGTTTCCAGTTATCAATTTTGCTGCATCAAAGCCTGCTGGATTAAAAAAAAAAAAAAGAGCTAGATTAACTTGATTTTTTTTTTTTTGTGTTTTTTTTTTTTTTATCATACTAGCATAAGTAAATTCTCCACATTTATGTTCATCAGTGATTTTTAAATCAATAGGGTAAATTTTATGGTAAATAAATTAGGCAAATGGGTAGCTGGAAAAGACTAAATACAGACATGATTTCTACTTGTGTTTGTGCATACACAGAGATTTTCAGTAGAGGAATCGGGGAGTACTTGCTCTCAAAGTACAGTAAGCTGTATGCAGCTCAGTCAGTGATTTTATTTGCTTCATAATAGGCTCTGGCAAAAATACACATTGCTTAGTTTTACATTGAGTCCTAACAATGTATCCAAACCAGGTATTGAAAAGACATCAACACGTGTTTTATTGAGACCCAAGCTGGGTAGAAAGTCTGTCCCCCTTGAGAGCATAAGGCTTCAGAAATGTCCATAAGAGTTACGTGCATGCACTGCGAGGACCCTGTGGGTCTCAAGAGCAGAGGCTAATGTATTAAACTGTTTTACTACTCACTTCACCTTAAAGCAGTGTGTATTATAGGCATTAAGGCTAATGATCCTGATACATTTCCAGATCCTTGCAGGAGTTTAACTGTGGGCAGAAATGAAAAGTAATTTATTTGGCAATCTTCTTGTATTGAATCTCAATTGATTCAGAAAAGCTTTATAGAAAGAAAATTTACATCTTAGAAAGGAACTCTCAAAAGACTTAAGCTGCGAGGCGCAAGGTTTCGGGAAGACTCCTTCACTAGCAGAGGCTGGGCTTACATTTTGTGGAGGCTTGCAATAACTGATTCCTCAACTAATTATCTACAGCACAATTCCAGAGAGTCTAGAATAACAACTTTCAGCTTAAATGAAATAGGTATTCTTAGTAAATTACAGAAATACATAATTCATAATGTGCAGCAGTAAGTGCATTCGAATCTTTACTTATTTCCACAGTTAATAAATATTTCATGCTATAGGTAGTGTATAACTATATACTAAATAATGTTGTTACCAGTTCAGCTCCTCACCTTGGAAGTTGTTTGAGGTTCTGAAACAATTTCCCTTTTCTGTTTTGGAAAAGTATTTATGTCTCTAAAATATGTAAGTAGTAACCCAAGAAGAAAATTAACACAGTTTATTTTTAAATTTGGGGTATATTAATTTTAATCTTTTCTATTTTAGCTCAAATTACAAATAAGAGCTTAAGAACAAAGAGAATAAATTGGATTTCAAACTTTGTTTCCATTAATTTCTGGAAATGGAAAGTTCCATGTGAAAAAGAGGTTTCTTGTTAAGTTTTTTGGTTTTGCTGAGCTGATATTTTGTAGCAGGGGAAAAATACCTGAAAAACTAGATCTTATTAAAGTCCATTAGCTAATAACATAGAATCATAAAAGCCAGGTGTTCCACATGAAAACTCTTGGGGAATGCCAAACAAAAGTAAGATTTTCTTGGACAGCCTCTGGAGTATAAACCATGATGGAAATGGTTTTAACAAATTTTTCTTAGCAAAAGTTATAGATGTCAGTCATTAGAAGCTAGTGCAAGATTTATTTTGTCTCTTTCAATATTGCAAGTGATACATTTTTCCTGCTAAATTTATGGATACAGATTTCATCCCTGCTTATCTCTTGGATGATCTCATCTGACTGGATGCACAGAGTTAGGGCGCTCTGACATGTCATATGTGAAACTTTTGAAATTCTAACTCCTCAATTTTAGAATTATTTCTTTAATTTTTGTTCAGGCATCATTTTCACTTTACTTACTTAGTATCCTCAATGCCTGTTTCTGTCATGTGTCAAACTTGGGGCAACAGAAATTACTGACATTTTGTAAGTTTTCAAAGCTTTTTATTCTTCCATAAAATTGCTTTGTTTGTAAGAATAGAGAGAAAAAAAATCTTTTCAGTGTTAGAAGTATAAATATGGAATCAGCCTTTATAAAAAAAAAAAAAAAACAGAAAGTAAATGCATTTTTAAAATGTTAGCTACTCTAGGTTTTCCATTAAAAGGTCACTTTGGGATTAAAACAAACTTAATCTAAAGACAGTGTGTCTCTCTTTAATAATTTTGTGAAAAATGTTCCCTTCTCCACCTGCAAAAATCCCCAATATTTTTGCCCTGGTTCCATTGCTTAATTCATATGCAAAAGAATTCTCAGTTGTAATAGGTATGCATGTAGGAGCAAAAATGTTTCATATTTTGAAGATGTGATTTCCTTGCAAGGCAATATATAGGAAAAAAAAAAAGAAGAAAAGGTAGCAGTGCAAAAATGGAAAGGAGATTTATTACTTTCAGTTATTCTGTTATTTCTGGCACAGGCATGGGATCCAAGACTCATAAGTCTCCCTCCTTGCAAAGACTTCACTTGCCTCTTCCACTTATCAATAGAGACATTTTTTTTTGGTTGCAAGTAGTGGAGGCATATTTGTATGGATTGCTTTTATCAGTAAGGGCTCTAGCCTGCATACTGACATGAATACATGGAAAATGGTTTAGAGAGGGGTGACAAAAATAATAAAAGGATTGGAGAGCAAGACCCAATGAGAAAGATCTCAGGAATGTGCTATATACAGCCTTCCTAAAGGAATATAAATACTTGAGAAGAAGCATAAGAGGAGGAGGAATTGTTAAAGGTAATCATGGGTGGTCTAACAAGAAGTAATGACCCCAAATTAAAAAGGAATGCTTTCTAATGGAGAGCTTAATTAGACAAAAAGTAACAAGTGATAGGACAAGAGGTTACAGCCTCAAGCTGCGCCAGGGGAGGTTTAGATTGGGTATTAGGAAAAATTTCTTCACCAAAAGGGTGATCCAGCATTACAACAGACTTCCCAGGGAAGTGGTGGAGTTGCTGTCCCTGGAAGTGTTCAAAAACTATGTAGAGGAAGCCCTTAGTGGCGTGGTTTAGTGGAGGCCTTGCCAGTCCTCAGGTAACAGTTGGACTTGGTGCTATTTAAGGTCTTTTTCAACCTAGTTGGTTCTATGCTTCTATATGAGCGCCTGGCAGGAGAGGTCAGTGAGGTGTCATTCTTCAGGGTGTTCAAGAAGAGATCCACTAGATAAAAAAATCTTTGTTAACTTAGTCTAGCAGTCTTTTCTGAAACAGTTTGAAGGGTGTTCTAGATTACCCAGGGGTCCTGCTGAAGACATGTCAGGAAGCATTTGTTGTGTGAAAAAATTCAGACTTTTCAAGTGGGGGAAGGGATCTTGTGGTTCAGTATTTCTCAAGTTTCCTACTGCAAATGTGCAGTATCTGTTAGCTGTGGAGGACTTGGTGGTGATGTTTTGTTTTTTATTTCTTTGCAGAACACATTTTATTTATTTGGAATATGTATTTTTATGAGATTTTTCGTAGAAACCATAGGTGATATCAGTTGCTTTATAGACTTTAATCATGCTGCTTTCTAGTATTGCCACCTTTACTTTTGAAAGCCAGTAAAATGGAGGCTGTAACATGGTTGCATGTGGTTATTGATTTAAAAGGAGAAGGGATTCTTTGGTTTACAAAACCCTTAACTCAGCATTGCTGGTTTTTTTGGCAGCTTCATTGAAGTGAAAAATGCTTCCATTTAGGTGTGTCTTTGAAAATTATATCATTGCTTGTTGAGTCTGTCTTGACTGTAGGCTAGTAAGCTTACTGCAATAAGGTAGCTAGTATATATGCATACCCCTGCACATACAGGCTGAAAGAGGAACTCTTTACATGCCTAGTATAGTAAACAGGATACAAAAAAAAATCAAATAACTAGAGAGCAGATTAATTGCATTAAAAATTGATGCTAAAACCCTGTATCATTGCAGCAGGGTTATCTGAATCAATGCAATTCCAATTTGAGCTGAAGCTATAAACTGCCAGAATAATACTGTTTGTTAAACAGTTATAATTTATCTCTGTCCTGTTTATGCAGTCACCTCTGTGTCCTCACCAGAAAGCAAGGACTGCTTTCTGTTTCTCTTTTACTCTAGTTAATGTCAAATGTTCTGACTTATTCCTTTAAAAAAGAATAAAAAAAAAGAAAAATATATTCTGCTTTTGGTTAAGGTGGGGCCATTTCACACTGATTTTTCGACCTTTTTTCATTACTAGTCATTGAGGATGCTGAGCACCTTAGTCGCAGAGCACTCCTAGCTGGCACTTTTT